TAATTTATCCCTAAAATTATTGGAATAATTGGAAAAATATTTGGAATATTAAAAGAAATTGAAATATTGAAAGAAATAATGACCTCACAACCTTATGAACCCTAACAACCCTATCAATCCTATGATCTCAACAACCCTATGAACAATCCCTAACAACCCTACTTCTTGATTAACTTATTAAAACAAAACTTATTCGAGATTTAAGGAGCCTCTTTCTAATATATTTTAATCAATGCCCTATATTTTAATTACATTCACGTGCCTTAACCGCGTACCCTAACCGCGTACCCTAACCGTGTACCCTAACTGCGTGTTCTTCAGGCCAGTTAAACCTACCTTTTGTCCTGGCCATTATCTCGCTCGATCTCTAATCAGAGATCGAAAAAGGAGATAATTCACTCCTTGTTTTGCCGGCTGATTATCGGCAAATGAGCGTAAATATTTCACGCTCATCGTAACAATTGTAAAATCGAACGATATTATATATTTGAATATAACTTTATTTTAATTAAAATAAAGCCAAATTACTATAAATATATTATATTAGACTGCTAACACGATCATATCTCATGGTGAAACAAGGGCAACCATTTATAACTGGGCAGAATTTATGTCGGGTATCACAGAATTTAACATAACTTTAACTGTTAGCAGTTTAGTATAATATATATATAGAGAATTCTTATGATATAAAAGTCTCTGTGCAGATTATCAATCAAAATTGATTGATATTATAATAATATATATAATTAGTAAATATTTATAGTAATACATAATTTATAATAAAATATAAAATTAAAGTGTGTATAACATTTATCATATTACAATTTATTTAATTAATGAATCATTTGGCTTTAGCTTTAGTTAAAGTAAAGTTTAAAAATAATATCTACAAACAAATTTTACGATGGATGAGCTACGATGAATACGAAATTAGAAGATAAGTACTCATCATAAGAATAAAGTAGCATCAAACATTAATAAAATTGATAAAAATATTAATGTGTGTTCTTTATTTAATAAATTAGACAAAATCTTTATAAAAATAATCTTTTTTTGATTTTCTTTTTTTAATTAATATTTAAATATATTTTTGCAATAAATGCAAAGCATTTCGAAAGAATTTAAAAAAAATTTATTTAATTCAATCTATCCTAACTCATCCATTTTAAAGCAACAGATTTACCTACAATCTACAATCTACAATTTATATATACATCCACATCTACAATCTCTACGAATCTGTTACTTTAAAGTAAAAAGTTTTTGTTCACTCACCGGCACTGATGCGCAACAGCGGAGTTGTTATCGAAGCTCGTTGTCTGTAACATACAAATTTATAATTCATTTATAACAATACTCAAAATCGATATTTCAAAAAAATATTATTATGTGGAATTTCATATCCGGTGTAAAATAATAAGCAGTTGTAAACATGTATGGAAAAATTTTATAAATTCTGAAACATCTTTTAAATATATAGAAACATTTATATAATTTTTATAAAAATCTTTCTAATTTTCCTTTAATTCATTTAAATAATAAAACCGTATTATTGTGTGTACGATTTTTAACAATAGATATATAAATAATTAATATTCACCATCAGGTTGTTCCGCTGGTGCAGGATGCCTCTCCTAGGCCTGCTCCTCCTCTCAAATCATCAGGGTTGTTGCATCGATCTAGAACATACAAAAGAAGGCTCTAATATAGCAGCGTTCAAAATAATTAATATTTCAAAAATTATTGTATATATTGAATTTTGTATCCGATGCATATAATAATAGTAGATTAATAAAATAATTCTATAAATTTTAAAAAACATTACTAATAATTCTCTTATAACTTTATAAAAGCTTACACCTTTACAAGATTATAGCTTTAATTTAAAAATCTTTTTCTTTAATTCTCTCTTATTTAAATATAAATAAAAAATATAAATAAAAATATAAAATTAATTATTGCGATTAATTGTTTAATTGTTTAATTTAAATTATACTAAATATATTTAATATTTAATATATAATTACAAGTAAATAAATTGCTTACCAGAAGGTTGCTTTGCCGGAGCCCGATGCCTCTCCTAGGCCTCCTCCTCCTCTTACAATTAGTCTTAAACGCGCGATACTTTTAGCGGCACTCCCGCACTCACGTGCGATATTTTTATATCGCTATTTTCGTTAGTTTACGCGCGATACTGAACGGCACTCCCGCACTATTTCGATACGATTAAAAATTTTACATTTGATCGCGCGATGTATATACTTAATATGTATATACCTTTAACGGCACTCCCTAATATGTATATATAACTAACGCGACGCGTTGACGAAACGCTTGCCATCCGCCATCCGTTGACGGCTCCGACGACGCGAAAGGGTACTTGGCTTCCCATTCAGGCACCTTAAGATTTATCATAAATTGAAAAATTTAAGATAAACCTCAAGGCACCGTCCAGGTACTAAGCCCTCCCACCGCGACAAGGTGTACCCCATGGGAAGGTTATATTATATTATATATAATTTTATATATAATATAATATATAATTAATTTTGTAATATACTATATAAATTTTAATTTGCAAATATAAACGATAAATAAAAATATAAAGAGATAAGAGATAATCTATTATATGAAGCAATGTTCAAAATAATTGTTAGAGAAAGAATTTGATAATATATGGAATGTCTCACATCACTACCTCACTGTTCAAAGGCCACTGAGGGAATGATCGTAGGTCAGAAACATTACCGCGGTACTGTTTATATCGCCAAGATTGACTATGTAGAGAGAGAGAATTTGATAATATAAACGTCACTACTTTATTGTTCAAGGTAACTGTGCGAATGTTCGTAAGTCATAAAACGTCGTTGAAATATTCTGTGAATGATTGTCGATTAAGAAAATTTAAAGCATTGGTCGAAATTTATTCAATTTTAATAAGTATCATTAGAGAAATTATTATAATAAGCATCAATAATCGAAAGATCATAATCAAATTAATTTCTTTATCCCCTTTTATGTTCCCTTTTTCAAGCGAATTATATTTCAATACTAATCGCGATCGCGTTTAGGAAAAGAATTCAATAATACGAAGCGTTTTGTATCACTACTTTGCCGTTGGAATCGTGTGAATAATACAAGATCGTCTATGTATTTATAATTTTTGCCTCTTTTGTTTCAATTTTTATTTAGAATAACGAAGGATCGCGTTTCGATGTATCATCGCCATATAGTTTCATGTTATTCATTAAGAGTTAATTAATTGTTAATTGTAATAGTCGTAGCGAATTATATTTCGATATTAATCGCGATCACACTGTTAGAAAAAGAATTCAATAATACGAAGTGTTCCGTATCACTACTTTACTATTGGAATGTCGCCGTGCGAATGATACAAGGTCTTCGCCTATATAAACAATACACGTCATCGCTACGTCACGCGCTACGTCACGCACTAGGTCAAGGCCGAACGTCGTGTTATTGACTTCGCTGCCGAAATATTTTACGCGTACTATGACGTACATATACGAAAATTGAATTTATATACAAGTATATTTTTAAAGTTACACACACATGTACACACAGATTAATTATTTATTAAACGATTAATATATATCACAAGGCTTTCCATTACGATAATTATTCGATTTTGCCATTCGATCGGTTTACTGCGCGTTCTCAGACGAATTATATATATTTAAATCATCACATAATTATATGATAAAGCATCGGACGAAATATTCTTAATTATAAATATTAAAAAAAGAATAATTATTGTTCCTAAGGATTGCGACAAAATGATAATTTATAATTTTGATTCCGGTCACACACATCGATTCTTAATTGCATTCGATTCTTTTTAATTGCTTAATTAAATGAACGCATCACGCAAAATACGTGTTTCCAAATTATATTCTAATTATATTCCAATCGTATAATCGAGTATTTCGAATAATGGAAAGAGCAATAGTCAAATCAACTATTTATTAATAATAAAATTGTAACTTACGAATGTATTCCGTTTATTCCGTACGTTAACATCGCGGCAATAATGAATAAACATTTAAAATAAATAATCAATATATCGAAACAGTTTTGCCGATTTAAATACTGATATAAAAACCGATCAATTGACCAGTTGGTGAAACGGTTTCAATATACTGGTTATTTTCGTAAAAGAATTGTTATATGACGAATTGATATATTATATTTACGGGCGTCACGCATTCGAACTCAATTTTGACTTCTCGCGGGAAGACTCGAATCGTTCGTCGAGAATCGATCCTTCAAAACGCGATTGTTCTGTATAATTTTTACAATTAATGATTATTAATTTGTACGATTTTTATTTACACAGCGAGTGGCGCGTTTTGATTTTGATTTTAATTAATGTCGAATGAGTCATAACTTTTTGAGATATATTGCATTATCACGTAGCAAAATGACAAAAGGCATGGTGTAAGTCGTGAGTAATTTATAATTTATTTTATTTTATTATATTTATTATTTGTGGAATTAATTATTTGCTTTTATCTTTAATAATAATTTATTTCACCAATGTGAAATATTAAAATATTCTATATGTATATATATTATAAATATATTATATATGTATATATAAACTTTAAATTATATACAATATTAAATGATATTAATATACATAAATATAAATAAATATATATATATATATATATATATATATATATATATATATATATATATATATATATATATGAAAGCGTCCCTTTTGACCACGTCCCGATTGATCACAGCCAGTTATATCGACCTGTGCCTAGGGTAACCAGCAACGATTAACCAATCAGAGAGTCCTATTTTAAATTGGTCATTTGGCGACGTGGTCAAACGAATCTCGTATATGTTACCCTCTGAGAATATTCATGGACATCGGCTTTGTAGTTCATGTTCACGTTTTTAATGTTTATAGAGGGAGTATCGCTTCCAGGGATCACCTAAAAGCGGATCGTGATGTCGCTCATTCTTCTCTGCCATTAGAGAATGAGAGGGTTTTTATCTATCACCATTCTCCGTAGTGACACATGAAATATGTGTTCAAAGTTCATATATATATCTCTCTTTTTTTGCGAATGACAAATTAAACATGAATGATATAACTGTGATGTGTGGTTAAAATATATATAACAATAAACCAACTGTCGTATAGGTGAATGCTCTTTAAAAGCCTAAGCAGTCATTTGGAATAAGAAGAAATAACAATAAATCTTTTAAACATTAATTTTGCAACAGATTAAAGATTTAACTGAATTCGCACATGTATTATTAATTACGCCATTATTCAATTAAAATTTGTTACAAAATGAACATTAAACGACAAGAAGAAACTTTGATGGGTTGGAGCATTATGTGGTGGTTGTTTAAATTATTCGGACTTCCAATAACTATTCCTTGGCTGATATATCACTTTCTTGATATTATGCAGCAAAAACGCAAAAGAGCAGCTCTTAGCAGTAAGGTAATATATATTTTACTTTAAATCTTCTTCCATTTCTTTTTGAAGAGAATAAAAAATATAATTTTATGACGTGACGATATCTCTTGAAATATATGTTCAGCGATTTAAATATTTTTATAATTTTGAATATATAATTTAGGTGATAATGATAACTGGTGCTAGTTCTGGCTTAGGAGAAGCTTTAGCTCATACCTTCTATCGTTGGGGTTGTAGACTCATCTTGGTATCTCGTAGAAAAGAAGAATTGGAGAGAGTAAAAAATGATTTGATGAATACCTATCAAGTGCGTTGTACAATATTTATTTTAACAAATAAATATATAGCATATCAATAATTTCTTGATCTTTTCAGACAATTCCAACTCATCCACCCATTGTTTTGCCATTAGATTTAACTGACATTAATAATATGAAAGATGAAGTGTCAAAGGCTATAATGGTACATGGCAGAATTGATATTTTAATAAATAATGCTGGTATTACATATAGAGGCGAAGTTATTAATACAAGTGTTGATGTAGACTTAAAAGTCATGATGTCAAATTATTTCTCTCAAGTTGCTTTAAGTAAAAGTAAGTGTATCATAAAAAAAATTTAATGTAACAAACTCATTATTCATTATTGATTTGCAGTTGTTCTTCCATTCATGATAGAACAAAAATCTGGCCATATAGTTGGTATAAGTAGTGTACAAGGGAGAATTGCTATTCCATTTAGGTAAGTATTTAATTATTATCAATATATCGATCATCTTAAGATTACCTTTATACAAGATTACTTATATACAATGTTTGCAAATTCTTAGATCTGCATATGCTGCATCTAAGCATGCGTTACAAGCGTGGTATGATACCACTAGAGCAGAATTGTTTGATAAAAATATTAAGATTACAGTTATTAGTCCAGGCTACATTAAAACGTCTCTTTCTCTTAATGCTTTAACGGAAAATGGACAAGTATATGGATGTTAGTAATTTAAATATTTTAAATGCTAGATACTTAATACTTTATATTTTTTATATAATTCTCTGATATTATTTCATTATATAGTAATGGACAAAACCACTGAGAATGGTTATCAACCAGAGTTTGTAGCCGAATGCATCTTAAAGTCTGTATTGAAGCAAGAGAAAGAAGTTACTATTGCACCATTTTCCCCAAAGGTTGCTATAGTGCTTAGAACTTTATTTCCTTCGCTCTTCTTCTGGATTATGCAAAAACGTGCAAAAAATAAGTAATATTAAACTAATTGTGAATACTACTTAATTTAAATAGGATAATTATTTTTTAATTGTAAAGTAGATTTACATATAATATATAATACATATAACATATAACATGTATATGATATACATCTTTTGTATAAAAGAAAAAATTAGAATATTAAAAATTTTAATTTAATTTGGTATATTAATAAAGAATGTATACAATTTTGAATAACAATGAATAAACTATAAAAGGGAATAACAGTTCAGATACACTATTCAAAACTAGATTTTATTTGTCATAGTCATTTTTTCTGGCTAGTAGAATATCTTTACATTATATACACATATTTCATTGTTAGAAAACTAATTTAAATTGACAATGAGATATTTAGACAAATGTGTTATCCATCTTTTGATATCAATTTATAAAAATTTCATTTCAAAATTTTAAGCATTGTATATAAATAAAGAAACAATTTTATAAAGTACTTTAATGATTCTTTGTTTTATAATGTTATTTTTAATATTAAAACTTAGTTTTTTATAGATTATTCAAAAAGAATAGCATATATATTTAATATAAATATTATATATTTTAAATGATGAAGAGTGACAGAGAGAGGGAGATAGCACATCCATATGTATTTAAGAGAGATATATTATCTAATATATTATTAAAATAATTATTTACTTTATTGTTGACACTTCATTAAAAATTTTCTCTATATAAACTTACTTAAAATATAATAATAGATTTAATAATCTCTGAAAAGAATATCAACTATAATAAAATCTAGAATCTATTGTCATGAGGCAAATGTATCCATTTTTATTTGTAAAATCCTGTATATATATTGATCACATGTTTGTATGACTTTTTTCGCTTTAAGTAATTAATGAAATAGAAAAAAAGTACATATAATAAAAATTTATATTAATTCAAAGATAATTAAATTTAATGTTGAAATTAACATGAAATGATTATTATATATACTTCCATTAAAAATTACAATGTTTATATATATGTCGATGGTGATATATAGCTGCATTATATATTATATAAATGTACACATTTGAAAAGTTCTATATATTTTAAAGTGGTTACATTCTCTGTTTTAAATAATAATAGCTTATGCAATGGATTTTCTTTTTTCTAATATTGTAATTTATTAATTTAGTATATGGAGAATGGTTATATGGAGAAATAATATCTTTAAGATAGAAATATAGGTTCCCTATGCTTCGTGTATAAGATAGAACTTTTCAGAACAAAATCTACATGATTTTTGGTTGATCTTGTTTCTCAGATTTTTGTGCTATATTCATTAACATAACAATATTTTAAAATATTGATTTAAAATATTGATAATCATTTTAAAATTAATTTCTAATACTTAATGTTAAAACAATAACTATGTATATTGTTCATACTTCTCCTATCAATACACATATAAATGAGGACAGTTTCTTATTCATATGATAGTGAAGTATTTTATATTATGTGAAAAAAGTTCACATATTATATAATGTACAGGATTTTAGCTTTTATTTTCATTAAACATTTACAGGAATGTTTGTGACATTAACTTCCATTTAATAGGACTAATATAAACGATAAAAAGTTTTATACGCGCGATTGTGATGAAAAAAATATATATCTTACTCTACATATTTATGGTTAATAAAATAATCAAAGCCTAAAAAAATACATTAAGTTTTTATACTTATAGTCAACTTATTCTTTTGATATTTCAATGTAGATCGTTCTGTTGGGTGAGAAAATCTAGGCAACATATCCTTGATATCATACATACTGTGTGTGTTTCTTTTTATTCTCTCTCTACCTATTTTATATTTACAATCTAAAAATACATGCTAAATCCATATGTACTGTTGCAAATTTCATAATTCTAAGAACACTTATGTCAATATCTTTTTTCTCCAGTTTTAGAAATTGCATACATGCGCGCGCGCGCACACACACACACGCCACACACATATATACATATTCATACATACATACATATATATATATATATATATATATATATATATATATAAATGTATGTATGTATGTATATATGGTTTTTGCAACTTTTGTAATACAATTATCTTTTACAATTTTTCCCAGATGGAGATTAAAGAATATAACAATGTAAAATCTTAAGGAAATGACATGCCAATGTAAAAACTTGAATAAAATCTGGCTTTTACTTGCATTTATGTAGTTTAGTCAGATCACATAAGCAGTATTTACCTATGAAGAAATACGGAAGAATATGAGTCAAAATAAGAAATATAAATAGAGTTTCATTCTTATTAGTGTTAAGAAGTTGTGTTCTATTATAAATCTACTATTGCATAAGATATGACAGATATAATATATGATTCACCTTATTGTTTTGTTCTGGCTTAAGACAAAATCAATGCCAGTAATAACTTTCTCATTTAAACGCCTGATACACTCTCCAGGCAGTAATGCTGAGAGCTGCCAATGTAATAGTCGTGTGAAGAATTCGTCTCCTTGTATCATCTTTCCTTACTAGAAATGTGGGAGACGAAGGACCTAGAACAGCTAACAGCTCTACATGTGGTAATTTGCAAGTATCAGTCTCTACTTGATATTGGCAACAAGGATCAAATTGCCAAGAGACTGTATATAATCCACAAGATATGACTGCTATAAAACCTAGTGGCCCACAAATGTATGGCCGATCGCCCCAGAGTATTCCTGAAAAAAATATGTACAAGCATTGTAAGATATATTATTTATTTCACTCATTATATGCAAATAATTCTTACATAAATTAAACAAACCTGTAATGATTGCGGTAAGACCTGACAACGCAGCGGTCTTGTGAAGACAATTTCCCACTGCTATCCATCTAGAGGTTTCGTCACCTAATTTCGATGGTTCGATAACAATTAAACTGCATTCTGATTCTAACGCTCTTTCTAGCTCATATTCAAATGTCTCATGAGCATTTTCACTGTCGTATACTTCTCTGATAATGGCAACACTAAAGGACTCATCTCTAGAAAGGAGGAATATTAATATGCAAATTATTATTTTTACTATTATTTTAATATTTCATAACTATCATATTACACTTTGCAATGCGATTGTGCACGCAAAATTTATGTAATTCTCATGTCGACGTGCCAAAACTATGCATACTTATAGTTATAAAATTTTTTTATAACAAGGTCGAAAAATTCCTGTCGTAATAGAAAGGTTAAGAGGATGCCGGAGTCGGTCCGTTTCGTTTTTCGATTATCACGTACGAATATATATTAAATAAATGCATCATCAAATACTGAATAATAAGCAATATATTAGAAATCGCAATGCTTTCCGGAATTTCTTTCATTTACATGTTATGTAAGACATCGATCAAGTTAATCAATGCTACACTTGTTTTAGTCGCGCAAGATGCGTTTCTGAAACCGGTGAGAGATCGGGGCCAGCGTATTTTCGTTTCGGCATCGTGATTCGATAGCGATTAAATATCACAATAATAAAAAGTAGCATATATATATGTACGTATATATGTATATACGTATAAAGCTTGAGAACGACGGCGAAAGTGACAGCAGTTTACACGAGCCGCTCTAACGATGCGTGGGTTCAAGTCGCGACTAAAGAATGACGTTTCCTGCATTTCATGGTATCATCTCGGCCGTAAATTCATGGATTTAACACTCGCTCAAGTACCTAGGATCGGACACGGCAAGAGATTTATTGTTATGAGAGATAAATCTGCCTTACGCGATACCGCACTGACTTTGAGGTTAATGTGGTTTCGACGGCGATGGATATCGCGTCGCGACGATGCGTCCCGGCGACGTTTCCCTCGCCGAAGAGGCATCGGATCTCGCGAACGGTGCGGAGAATAATTCGGCCTACGAACCTGTCACCAGCTTCATCTACCATCTTCGCCGTCGATCCCGCAGATACTGAAACGGCGGTCTGTTCGGACCGGAAGAAAAAACATGACTCGTCGAACCGGACGCAAAAATCAGCTGATAGAGCGCCCGCGCGCGCGATACTCGCGTGACTCGAGTAGTCGTCGAGGTTTTAAATTTTCTCTTGAAAGCGGTGGTATCTGAAAGCGCCTTCCAAGTTTTGATGCAAATTCGAGTAACGCGAGAAGGTAAGTGGATCGTTTCTTTGTCATTTTTCGGGCGAATGACGCCTTCTGAATGTCTTTTGGATGCATATTGTATGGGATGATATATTTTTAATTTAAGCTAATTGAAATTTATTTTTATATTAAATTGTTAATAACTGTAGCGAAATATAATTATTGTATTATAGATTTCTGAAATTGATTTTAAAGGTTAATATATTCAATTTTAAAGAATATGAGCAGAATCTCAATTCGATGAATGGAGAATAAAGTTGAATCTTGTTTTTCTCGATAGTTTGAATCATAACGTAATAAAAAGTGGTTGTGCCATCATTATAACGATGAATAATGGTGGTATCTCATTTTACGATGGAACATCTTATCTATTTATACGCCATGTTTAACTATCCAAATTTAACGTGATTGTCGAGTGCGCGTCGTCTGTATCTAAAGATCAAATTTGAAAGGTATTTTACGATTTGTTTTACAGAATTACATCAGTAAAGAAGCATGTGAGTCGATTTCTTTCCCTAGACTTTTTGGATTTAGAATTGAATAAATATTTCCGTAAGGAAAGAAAGAAAAAGGCGAAGCGTAGAAAGGGCGAGTAAAGCCAAGAGACATTTCGATAACATCTCGAAAATCGATTTATCTGCTTTAACTGCATCTTTTGCATCATTTGTATCGCTCAAAATGCATATATCATCGAAAATGAAAACAATTTTTAATATATAATCTTTGATACGAGCTTGAACGAGCATCAACAAGCGATATATTCTGATCCTCGTAATTTGCGCGCGAAATTCAAATCATCATCAGCTAGATTTTCCAAATTCTTTTATGTTACATTTACTTAATTAACAATAAATATGAAAGATAATTAAATAATATAAGAGTATTTAGAAAAACGTAGCGGATAATAACTTGAATTGAAGCTTTTTTAAAGACAATTTATACAAATGAAATATTATATAAAATATATATTATACATTATATATTATATATAATATATTATATATATTATATAATATATAATATATATTGCATAATAAAATATATATTATACATTATATATTATATAAAAATGTAGAAATCTTGCAAATTTTCAGGGCTCGGCCGAGGAGGAATGAAGGTGCGCGCGAAATCGCGAGTTCGGGCGGTCGCGTCGCGATGGCGCGCGCGTAGGCGAGGGACTATATTCGCGACGGCGCGTAGTGACGCGAAGTATAGTGCGTTGCGCGGTCGGCCGGGTGAGAGTCAGAGCGGAGCGCAAGTCGGAGCGCGCAGATAGAGTTAAACGGGACCAGATCGCAGATGGACGTCCGCGCGAGCGTACTGTCACTGTGGACGGCAGCGCGACGCGCCGTGCCGTCGTCGTAATAAGTGTGCGTGTCGTGTCGTTTCGCGTTATGTCGCATCGTGCTGCGTCGGGGGTCATCGCGTAATCGTCGCCGCGCGCGCGCGCGCGCGCGTTCCTCTTATCCCGGGATTAGGATTACGCGTTCGGATTCCTCCCTCCTCGCGGTGACATTCGGCCGGGAGTGAACGAACGTTGCGCGAAACCGACTTGTATTCCCTCTTACCGCGATATATTCGGCGGATTCGTGCACGCGTTCGACGAATCGGTCTTTTCGCGAACGCCTTGAAGTGCGCTCCGAAGATCACGTCCGTCAATAACGTGAACATCGCGCACGTGCGTCGAGCGAACACCGTCCCCCGGTGCAGCTGTCGGGTCTCTCCTGACACTCGATAACGCGAAAGCGGGATTCTCTCTCGTTAATCCACGTGCTTTCTCGGGAGTGTCGGAGATATTGCGCCGCATCGATCGAAGTCGGGATACGTACATATGTGCGGAGGAAACGCGCGAGTGTGTGCACGCGCCGAGTGAGACGAAGCGAGTGTTCGGATCGTATTGACAGTTGATGAATAGTGTGTTGTACGAACGGAACGGTCGTGCATACGCATCGCTCGTTGGGCAGTGCCGATTGTAAACACGCGCGATTGTAAACACGTGACGCTCGGAATTCCACGTCAATTGAGATCGAGGAACTGGAATCCGCATCCGCGAATGAAAGATTCCTTCCGTACAGGGATCGGGAACTGTCAAAATAGCGATTTTCTCCGGCGTGTTTTTCGAACGAGGGTTTCCGAGACAAGTTTCCCTCGCTCGAAATTGGACGAAAAACCGATCGAGAGTCGACGTTACCGCGTCGCCGAGAACAGCTGGCGGTGAATCTCGCGGAAGATTCCCGGCGCGATCGACGTCAACGACCTCGGCGTTCGCGATCCCGTAAGAGGGCTTCCGTCAGGAGCGGGGCGTGCGTTATCGCGCTAAACGAGATTTCTACATCGACGGAGGAGAGCTCACCCGAGAGACTCTGTGCGACGTGAAAGTGACATTTTCGTGACAACTTTCGAGTGCGAAAAAGGCAACTTCTTCTCCGAGAGGAACCGGAGCGGCGCTGGAACAGAAGCTGGACGGAAGGACGGATCGAAGGGCGACCAAGAGGACGAAGGAAGGCGATGCTGTGTCTCGGTAACGATCGCGACTAATTCGCACGTGTCGCGATGTCGGGTGGCACGACGGGCGGCGTTCGCGGCACCGGCGCCGAGTGCAGGAAGTTCGCGCCGAACATATTCAACAAGAGCAAGTGCAGCAGCTGCTTCAAGCAGAAGGAGGAGCACAGCGCGGAGGCTCTGGAATGCAACAGGGTGAGTTTTGCTTGATGGACTTCTACCGTCTCCGTCTTCCCTGGAACCCTCTTCCTCGTTCTCTTTTCGGCTCCTCCTCTTTCGCTACCGCGCGCCTTCTGCCTTCTCCCCCTTCCCTCCCCTCCCCTTCTTTCTTCCTTCTCTATTTTCGCTTGCATAAATATATGAGTATATGGAGTGTGGTTATTGAGCATTTAGATTGATACGAAAGATTTACGAAGAGTACGTGGCACGGATAGCACGTTGATAAAATTACTCGCACGAGAAGAAATTTTTATTAAGCAAGTTAATTATGCATTTCATTAGTTGAAACGTTTTCGCATGTGTCTTTTTTTAAATCCTTTTTTTCTTTCTGAAGTGTAGTCTATTATTCTATCTGAAATAAAATTTCGTACAAAGAGAGAAATTTAATAACGAGTTATTATAAATTCGCACATGTTATATGACAATAGCAAAGCGACGTATAATTCAATCTTTTTTCCTATTTTTTTAGTAACGTTATGTAGAATGTCAAAATTGTTCCAAATTATGTCTTTGTAATGACAAATTTTAGAATGAAATTTTTCGACGAAACAAATAAGGCATTAATAATTTTATAAATTAAAATTGATTGTCAACGGTTTTTCTGACGAATCAAAATTTGAGAGAATATAATAAAATTACATTCTTCAGTTAATTTTCAGTAGAGTATTTTTGCAGAAATTTTGACAGTATTTAAAGTTTTATTATGAAGACACATGCGAAAAATTGAAAATTTGCAATAAATAACGGTCTGTCTCAACATTTTTTCTACAAAAAAATCAATTCGATATTCAAATAATATGTTATTAGAAAAAACATTTAATCATTTAGAATCTTATATATCTTATATTTTATTCATATATATTATTTTTTATTTCACATATAATTCGTATGACACGTACTCTTTTTTGGCTTTTAAACAGAGAGGAAGAAAGAAAGAGAGAAAATTTTTTTATTCTAAGATAATATTAAATGGTTCATTTTTGTTCCTCTCTCTTATCTTTCTCGTGATATGATCTCTATCCATCTTCTTTTCTCTCTCTCTCTCTCTCTCTCTCTCTCTCTCTCTCTCTCTCTCTCTCTCTCTCTCTCTCTCTCTCTCTTATACTCGAGCGTCTGACTCAACTCCGTTTCTTCTCACTCATGCTCGAATTCCTTCCCGAGTTGGAGAACGAGCAAAGAGAAGGAACGAAGGACCTGTTACTCGGAACATTGATGTTATGTAAGTTCCGCCGCAGCCGTCGTTTGCAGACCCATCGCCGCGACCTACGTACGACGTTTCGTTTACCCCTCGCGTATGTCCTTCAAGGTGACATCCGATCTTCCGGCTTAGTTACACCACGATAGTCGCGGTTCATTAACTTTAGCCGCGCAACATTCTAGATCGATGTAAGTAAGAATGAGGGTTTATTCGACGGACGTTAATGCTTCGACTGCATCGCGCGGGTCGTTTAAATTATTACATAATTCACACGAGTGTCGCGTATACGTATAAAGTGTGAAACGGGCAGTTCCGGCATACGGAAAATAGGCAGAAATATCGTAGAATAGCGAGATTTTTTTTTTTTCGTAGAATAATAACGATTCGCGAGACGACGCATAAGTTTGCATACAGGATGGATATTACCGCTGTATTATGCTGAGAGTCATGTTGTTGCGCAGTCGCTTGCCACATGGCATACGCTTCTTTTTTTCGCGGCAATTTGACGTTTAGGTTGCTTTCGATCTCGCTGCTTTGTAAGCGCGCATTTTTTTCCTTTTTTTTTGGATAATCATACGCGCAGAATGAGCAACAATTACGCGGCAATTTAAGCATGTCTCAAGAGAGCGTATTATAAAATCTGGCGCGTTAAAAGAAATTGCTTGGTAGTAAAAGAATATTTTGGAAAACCGGCTTGCACCTTAACATCATACATATACTGCATGCACGATTTTAGTACATATATATATGAAAAAAAGTTCCTTTTTTAATCGTGTTGTACGAACAATAAACACAAGTCGATGTTGAATATAATGCAAGTTTGGAAGCAAATCTTGAAATTTGGGAAAATAAGAACTGATATTGTTTATCGTGTATTATTATATTAATTAAACGTAAAATTGCTTCCTATCGATAAGAATAGAATAACGATGCTTAAT